GCTTCTGAGGCTGTTGTCTCTAAGACCCTCTCTTGCCAGGCGGGTCCCACACTCGAAGTTTCCCCTGGCCTCTCCAGGCCATTTAACACCATATGACACCGACATCGGCAGGTGGTCCTGGGGCAGGGCAAGAAGGTTGGAAACTGCTGTCCCTGCTGGTTTCTCTGTCCTGTTCCCCTCTACCTGTGCCCTGAGCCTGACTCTCCCACCTGCAGTCCTAGCCTGGAGCCAGCATCCTCTCAGCCCTCTGCACCCCCAACTTCCCACCATCACCCCAAAGGCCCCTCCTCATCCACTAGCACAGTGAACAGAGCCCAGGGCCGGGGGACAGGCAGCCTGGCCCAAATCTAATTCTCTGGGTACCTTTGGGCAGGTCATTCCCTGTCTCTGAGCCTCAGTCTTCTCATCTGCAAAATGAGTCCTCCCCTTCTACGTGCGTCAGTACCTGTGTCTTCAGAATGGAGCCCCCAGAGCATCCACAGGATCCCCGAGGGGGTGTCATGCTGTGGGGGCGACCAGACCATCTCCCGCCAAGCCCCATCCCAGGGGAGGAACATTTTCCACTCTTTTCCCAGGGAAGTCCCAGAGACAGCCCCTGAGAATCAGACCAGTCTGAACGCAGATCGAGATTCCTCTGCTCCCTTGCTATGTGACCTTGGACAAATCGCATAGATTCTCTGAGCCGTGGCTCCCCCATCTGTAACATGGGGACAACAAATCAACATTGCAGGGTTGCTGGGAGGATCAAATGAGAATTTGCAAAAGCTCCTAACCAGTGCTTGGCGAGACAACGTGAGTTTCCCAGCTGGGAATCGGGAAGTGATGGGCGCTGCTCCCGCCTCCTTCTTGGGAAATATCAAAGGCTCCTGGGGTTTTGGAGGTGGAGATGGCATTCAACCTCACCCATAAAGCGGGAGTCACCGGGCCAGGTTCCCTGCTTGAATAGCTCTGGGAAAGAGGAACTCACTATTTCACAAAACATCCATAGCTGCTCCCCATCTTTCTCCATCTCCAGCTCTGGGAATTTTCTAGAATGGACCATAACCTTCCAGCTTAACCCTAAACCCAGCCTGTCCCTTCCTGGGACTGCCTGAAACTGGCTTTAAAATGAGCCTGAAAGATGCTCCTCAAGGAGGCCGAACGAAGGGTGGGAGTGATGCCCAGGGGCAGCGGGGTGAGGGCAGCTGGACAGCAGGAAGGGGAAGGGCGGGGCTGAAGCCAGAGCTGGGCCTGCTAAGCTCCTGGCTCCTGTCTGGACTGCCACAGTGTTCCCAGGGTGGCTGTGTACCTGCCTGTCTGGCTGCTTCTGCCCCCAAACCATCGCTGCAACACTTGAGGGTCTACTTCCCCTTCTGGGCCTCAGTTTCCACTTTCGTAAAATGAGGGCATCAGACCAGTGATTTAAGCCCCAAGGCTTCTGTCTGAATTAAGACCCTCCCACTCTACCTCCCCATCCCCTGCCTGGGTTGGCCTGGCCCCCGCTCCAGCCAGGGAGCCGTGGGCCCCTGAGTGCCTGCGGAGTCCCCGTTCCCCCTTCATATTAGCGCCTTGGAGTTTGCTTTAAGGATTCTACATCCCCAATTTACAGGTGAGGAGATGGAGGCATAAGGAGGTGAAGCTACTTGCTCAAGGTCACAGAGAGTGATTCAAAATTCAGGACTCCCTCCCCTGGGCCCAGGAGAGCAGCAGGACTTAAGGGCAGCTTTTTTCAAGAGAGTCACCAAGAGCTTGAGCAGCCGACGGATCTTTACACAGATGTGGACTCTGCATGGGGGTGGTGGCCAAGGTCACGTAGCAAGGCAATGACAAATCAGGGTCCTGAACCGAGGCTCTCTGCCTCCCAGGTCCCACCAAGCCAGGGGGACAGCAACATGGCCTGACTTCCCACCCAGCCCTGGGATCTCCCCAAGATCGGAGCCCTTGCCCTGCCTAGGCCCTGCCTGGCTGTGCACAGAAGCCCCCAGCACCTAGCCTGAGGTGGGAAGAGTGAGCAGGAAGACAGGACAGAAAGTTGAGGGCTGGCCGCTTGCCCCTGGCCCTCTGGCCCTCCTCTCCTGCTCCCCTCGTGCAGGGGGAGCGGCGGCGGTGATGTAATGCACTCGGCTTTCGTCCCGGTGCCAATCTCAGAAGAGAGACGACAGATTGCGTGAGCCAAATTTGGCATCCTAGGGGGAGAGGCATGAAAAGTGGAGATGTGGAGGAGAACAGAGGAGCCTGGGGAGGTGGGGAGAAGCCCCCTGCCCAGCAGACCTGGAGGCGCCTCCCTTCCCTCACTCAGGCCCTCACCTCTGCCCCAACCCACCTGGCCTTGAACCTCCCCTCCTCGCTCTGAGAGGCCAGCCTGCCTGCTCCCCGGCCCCTGTGCCCCCACCCCCACCCCGCCACACTGCTCCAGCTCCGTTTCCCACCGCCGCTAGTTTCCTGGTTACCGTGTTGCTGGTTGTCATGTCGCTTACATGTCCTCGTGACTCAGTGGTCCCCGCAGAGGGGCCCCCTCCTCCTCACACCCTCCTTAGCACTCACCCCCGCCTCCCCCAGATCCACATTAAGCACCAGCCCTCCTTGTAAGCCCACACTGCTCCTCCTCCTCTGCTCTCTTATCCTAAGCTGAGAATCTTTCCGCAGCATCTCCTGGAGCTACTTCATTCTCTCTCACGAATGTCTACGAACCTACTCTGCTCCAGGCTCATGCAAGCTGCTTTCTGAGACCTGACACGGTCTGAAAACTGCTCACCACCCTGACGAAGTCAGTACCATCATCCCCATTCTCCGGTTGAAGAAACTGAGGTTCAGAGAGGTCAAGCCAGCTGCCTAAGGTCACTCAGCAGAAACTTAACTAGCTCTATTTGGTCACAGTCACCCCAGAGGTTTTTTTTTTTCTGAGAGAGCAGCTTTCTTTTCAAGGGTAAACCGAGGGGCTGTGAGGAACAGCTTCCAAGCCCCAGATGCACCCTCTAATTCCGGGACACTCCTACCCTTGGTCAGTCCTCTATTTCCGGCCGTATTCCCCTCACCCCATGCCTCCCTTAGGGTAAAGTGGGTCCTTACTCCCATCTGCCCAGCACTCCCCAGCCCGGGAACAGCCCTCTGCTCACGGAGCCCAGGGCTCCCCTTGGAGGTCAGTAGGGCAGGGAGTGAAGTCCCCATTCCACAGATGTGGAAGGTGACAGGGAAGAAAGTGACTAGCCCAGGGTGCTAGTTTCTCAGCTAGCTGAGCTAATTTCTGGGAGCCTGAATGGAGGATGTTTGAGGCCCACGGCCCAGTGTGGAAAACCCCAGAAAGAGTCCATCCTCCCAATGGAAAATAGAGTAGAATGTTCCAGGCTCCGATTTGGATACGGGTCAGCCCAGTAGCCAACAGCCTTGGCTCCTGCCGTGTTGCGCCCACCGTTTATCCTGACTGCCCTGTTCTTCCATTTGCTCCCCTCATCACAGGCCAAGCCAAGGCACAGCGTGGCTCTTGGGCCCCTGAAGTCCTAACAGTTCCCCAAAGGCCTGAAGCCATGGAGGTCATGGGATCGGAGGTGCGGGATAAGCAGAGCCAATGACGACGTTACACACACGGGGCTCCAGCCCCTCTCCCGGCCTTGCACGCCTGCCCCCCCCCCCAGCTCCCCTCAAGCTCCTGCTCTTGTGGCCTTATCTGCCACTTAGCCAGGCCGCCCTGCCTCTGGCCCCTCCGACACACCGAGCCTGCCGTCTCCCTGGCACCCTCTCCCCATCCTGCAGCCTGGGCACTGGGGCAGAAGGGTGGGTGGGGGGCGAGGAGGTTGTCCTGGTGGGGGAACATCCCGCGTTGCAGAGGAAGCTCTCACTGCTCAAGAGCTTGTTCAGACCTCTCTTTCCTTGGGGGGCACCCCTCACGGAGAAGGCGGTCTCTGCCTCTCCCCAGCCTGTTTCTACCACTGTGAAATGTGACACGACTCATTTGCTGGACCCCTACGCCCCCGCCCCGGGGTCACCTAGCGCAAACTAGGTGCTCACACATGAGAAGCGGGATTTCATTCCCCCTCGGATCGCAGGGCCATTTGCAGAGAGGCTGCAGCTGGGGAGGTGGAAAGGAGAGACACCCCCCGCTTGCCACAAGTCACCTGCCTTGGAGCTCCCCGGCATGACAACCGAGGGTGGGCGGAGGCAGGGAAAGGTCATGGCCGGGGCACGAGGTCAAGACCCCTTCCACCCACGTCTCTCCCCTTCCTGGCCACAACCCAGACCGCGACGCTCCCAGACCGACAGAGGACGGGAGCCCGCCAGCTCCTGGCGAGTCACGGGACCGCGCCAACGCGCGCCGGGCAGCCAGGACCCAGCTCCAGGACAAGGTGCGGAGCGGGCGAGGCCGGAGCGGCCTGCTCCGGGACACACAGACAAGCACTCGGCCGGACAGACTGACGGACAGCGCCCGCGGTGGGCGAGCGCCCGGCTTACCGCGGGGCGGAGGGTCAGACGAGTGTCCGGGAGGCGGCGAGCGGGCGCTACATCCCACGGCGCGATCCGGCGGGCGGCGTCCCGGGCGGGGAGAGGGGAGTCCCGGCGCCCCCGCCCCGCAAGCTCGGTCGGCCGGCCCGCGCTCCCCGCCCCGGCTGCCGGCCGCTCTGTGCGTGGGTCTCGGGGTCTCCGCGCGTCCGGGCTGTCCCGCGCCGCTCTCCGCGGGCCGCCCAACTTTCAGCGCTGCCCCGCGCCGCGCCCTCGGCGCCGCCTCGGCGTCAGCATCGTCGGGCCCCGGGCCCGGGCTCAGAGCGCGGGGGTCGGGGGGCCCGTGGCGCCCGGCCGCCCGCGCTCGCGCCCCCCTGCCCCGCCGGCGCCTTCGGGTCGGCAGCCCCGCGCTGTCCGCTGGTTCCCTCGCTGTCACTCCGTCCTGCTGGCGCGCGCTGCCCCCTGCCCTGCGCTCGGCTCCCCGGCCCCCTGCGCTCGGCCCGGCCCCGCGACCCCCTCGGCCTCCGGGCCTGGGGTCGCCCTCCGCGCTCCGGCCGGCCGGCCTCTGCCGCCACCGCCACCCCTGCTCCCGCTCCTCTCTCCCGCTGCCCTGGGTCTCTGCCGCGCTCCCCGTGCCTGTCCCTCTCCCGGTCTCTCCTTCCTCCCTCCGTCTCTCTCGCTCTCTCCCGCGGGGTCTCTGTCCCCGTCGCTGTCGCCCTCCCGGTCTCCTCCTGCCTCCCTCTGCCTCTGCCTCTGCCCCGTCTCTCTCCCCTGCGCGTCTCTATCTGTCTCCCTCGCGGTCTCTGTCCTTCTCCGTCTCTCTCTCCCGCCCCCTCTCGGCGCGGCCCCCTCTGTCTCGGACCCAGGCCCCCGCCTCTGCCGCGTCCCCGGCTCGCCCGGGAGCCCGAGCTCCCGCCGCCCGCGGCGCGCCGAGAACTCCCAACTCGCGGCACGCCGCCCCGCTTTGCGAGACTTTCGCCCCTCCTCACACGTGACCCGCGCCCCGCTGCGGAGGCCGCGCGCCCCCAGCCCCGGAGCCCCGGCGCCCCGCGGGGCCCAGCCCTGCCCGGACCCCCCCTGCCCCGGCACCAAAGCCGCTCCCGCGGGGCCTGCGGCGCTGAGCAGGGGCAGGGGCTGGGGGGCTGCGTGGCCCCGCTCCTGCCCGGGATCCTGCCCGGGTTTTCCTCCTCGCCCCAGGCGCGCTCCTCCCAGAACCCGTTCCGTAATCCGCTCCCGGGTTTTCCAGCGCTCCGGGGCAAGTGGAGAGGGTTTCTCGGAGCCGGTAAGGGGGTGGTGGGAGCCAGTCGGCCTGGGGTCCCTTGGCGCCCGGCCCCTCCTTTTGGCAGTCCCTGTTGCCTCCCGAAGTACCATCAGTTAAGGACCTTATGCACCCCCTACTCACCCCGGGAGACCGAAGCGGCCCTGCTGAAGGGACCCTCCCCACCATGTAGTCAGCACTGCCCCGTTTACAGACCGAGAGACTGAATACCAGCGAGGGTCCGAAGCTCGCCCAAGGCCACCCAGAGGTGGCAGAGCCACACCGAACCCTAGTTTCTCGTTCTCTCTGCCGTTCCCTATCACGCCAAGCTATCTTAATAAAGGCGGACTCACACCCATCTCCTCCCCCTCCCCAGTGTACCCCAAGCCTGGGCCCCACACTCTGGACGGTTGGAGAAGCCCCCAGCACCCCACAGTCCCTGGTGAGCCAGCTGCTCCCTGGCCATCCTGTCACCTCTGAGGAGACAGGAGGGAAAGTGCTTCTCCCTCCAGGGTGGGAGGAGGAGAGAACACCTGCAGCTAGACAGCCAGAAGAACTTCCCTGGATGCCTGGCCATCTCTGACTAGCCCCTCCAGACAGGGAGCGACTGAGGCACCCCAAAGCCAGGGGGAGAGCCGATTGAATCTGGAATCCCCTCTGGCTCCTCCTGACCCCCTAAGATGTGTCCGGTGCAGGAACAACAATACCACACAAACCACCATGACTATTGCCCTTCCCTGTGGGCTGGACCCCACCCGAAAGGATCCAGTCTCAATGCCTCAGCATGATGTACAATCAGGTCCCACCTAATCCAGCATCCCATATACCCACACATCCACCCTGCTTCCACAGATTCCAGAACACACCAGATGCTTCCACACCTCTCTTCTTGCACGCACTGTTCCTCCTGCATGAAGTGCCCTTCACATTCTTTGGCCAGAGAATTCTTGCTGTTCTCCAAGCCCAGCCTTAGTGCCACTTCCCTGAGAAGGCCTCGTGATGCCCTGGCAGAAATCATTCATCACCCATTCATTCATTCGCTCAGCACTGGGTGCCCACCACGTGCCAGCCCCTGGGCTGGTCACGAGTGTGGTTCTTAGTGGGCTTGGGAGTCAGGCCAATCTGGGCTCAAATGCTCTTAGGAGCTATGTGAACTTGAGCAAGTCTTTAATTTAACTTCTCTGTAAAATGAGGACCCTAATAGTCCCCCACCCCACACGCACAAACACAGGGGCAGATTAAGTGAGGTGGATGCACAAGAAATGCACAGCTCATAGTAGGTGCTCAATAAATGTGGCCATCCCATCTTGAGGCTCTCTTCAACACTGCAGACCTCCACGATGCACGTCTTGTTCCATGCCTGTCTCCCTGGTTACCCTGCTGTGCCCTCACAGGCAGCCAGCCAGGACTGATGTTCTGTTGCAAGGATCCTCGGCGTGTGGAGGGAGGGGGACTGAGTGCTTGCTCAGCAGCAGGCGTGTGCCACACTCTTCCGTGGATTGAAAGTGGGAGGATGCAGGTGAGGCCAGTGACTTTTGGTCTGTTCGCCTGCCCAAAGGCCTGGCCCGGTAGCTGCCCCGGGAGTGTGGGGTGTGAGGGAGGGAGGAGCAGGAAGGAGGGATAGAGAGTCAGAGATGTTCCTGGATCAGAGCTTCTACTCTCACACGATTGGTCCCCTGATGTCAGGTCACTGGACACAAGTTTGAGGATGGGATGGGGGCTAAGGGCAAGGAGGGTCACTTTGCTGGGGCAGGGCCGCAGGCCAGAGCAGCTACTCATCTCTTGTAAGGAGGAAGGATGGGGAGGAGGTGCAGAGAGGTTCAGGGACCCCAGGAAAGAGTCCCTTCTCCACCAGTCAACCCTGTGTGACCCTGGGCAGCTCATCTCTCCTCTCTGGGCCTCAGTTTCCTCATATGTAAAGTAGGAAAGATAACACCCACTTTGAGCGGCTGTTTTGAGGACCATTTAAGACTAAAGGAGGAATTCGCCATGGTCCATCCCATGTTTGCGTGGCTCTAGCCCTGTGGGGTGGGGGGCGGATCACATGAGACAGGTCTACAGAGGCCTGGGATGGGATGGGGGGAAGACTTGGAATCTGTGTGACCCTGGGCAAGTTGCTTTTCCTCTCTGGACCTCAGAGGCCTCATCTGTAATGGGACAGTTTGGACTGTGTCCCCAAAGGGCAAGTTTTTGTCTTCCTCTAACACAGAAGCATGCCTGGATGGAGTGAGGATAACCAGCATCCGCTGGGCTCATCCCATCAGCCCAAGACTATTCTGGACCTTCCCGGGCACTGGCTCATTTAATCCTTCCAAGAACTCTATGACACATGCACCTGTTACCAATTGGGAAACTGAGGCACAGGTAGTATTGCTATGAGTGGCATGGGACAATGCTCTGGACGAGTGAGATTTGCTCTGAAGTTCGAAGGGGACCGGTGGTTAAACCTTCAGCCAGCCGCACGTTTCGTTTTGGCAAAGCTCCCTGCCCATTCCGCATTCCATTCTCCCATCTGATCCTCGCTCGCTTGCAGAGCTCTGTGGGATGGCGGCTCCCACTGGCCTCACTGCACAGGTGAGGAACTGATCCAAAGCGCAGCGACAGCCAACGCTTGCCCAGGCTCAGTCAGGCAGTAAGCAAGTGTGTGAGCCAGGAATCAAACCGAGTTTGACTCCTAGTTTCTGGGGAAAGGTCATTCCAGGCCAGCATAGCGCTCACTAACCAGCTTCTCGGGGAGGCTGCTCAGACCTGGGCACGTGGGGGCCCCAGTAGCCTGTGCAGAAGGCTGAGAGGAGTGGAGGGGAGGGCGACTTGGGCTGGGCAGGTGGAACAACTCCGAGAGGGAGGGAAAGGGCCACTTTGAAATGTGAGAGTCACAGAATCCAGAGGTTTTCAGCCTAGGGAGTTTCTTAAAGTCCAGCCAGCCCATTCTGCAGATGAGGCAAACTGAGGCAGCCCAGATGCTTAGATTAGAAATCAGATCAGGACACAGCTGGCCTGCCTCAGAGCTCTAAAGTCCTGGGAGCTCCTTGAAGGTAAGGTCCAGGGGTGGGGACAGGGATATTGGGGGTCCAAAGGGCCAAGACCCATACCAGCAGGCTGTGTCCTGGGGACAGAGGACTATAGGGGTCTCGCCTGCCCTCCACCCCTCTCTCATCCACCCCCCAGCACTCAGTAGTCACCAGGGTGGAATATTTTAGCACCTATAGAAAAACCGCCACAGACGGCTGTGGCAGCTGTTGCTAAGGAGACGCTCCCAAAATAGCCCCCCTCCGCCAACCTTTCCCGCTGCTGCTCCTGCTGTGAGGAGGGGAGGAGGCCAGGCTGGGAGGGGGTGGCACATGAGCCTTGGCCCCAGGCTCACCCACCCACCCTGGCCCAAGACCCGTGCAGCCACAGGTCTTGTGGAGGGGCAGGAAGCTGTCCTAGGCAAGCCTGTGACCCGAGCCACAGTCCTCAGCTGGGGACGAAGGTCACCTAGGTGAGGGGAAAGGGAGGAGAAGCCCCTGCATCCAAGACCCCCAACACATTCCCACATGTGCACAATCACAGATTCTCACAGTTCTGCACACCCACCGGTGCACACACAAGTACAGCCTCACACATGCCGACGTAGGTACGCACACGCACCAGCAAGACACGAATAGATGCACAGACGCCACAAATGCACAACATGCAGCTGCATGCACATGCCACACAGCCATAAATGCACGCGTTTACATACACACACTCAAATGCACATGCCAAGTACACACATACACTAGCGCATGCATGCCAGGCACATGGGCACACACACACACCAGTGTACACATACCCCCGTGGCACACATACACACACGTCCACAGATACACACAACTGTCCAAACACATGCCCAGCGTGTGGCATTCAGAGGGCATTCAGTGGTGTTACCCAGTGCGCTCTGTCCAGGCGGCCACGTCTTGGGGCTTCCAGATATCCTCGCTTGGTGGGGAG